TTTTTAAAGTATTAAATTGTAATTTTTGTTCAATAAAAATCTTTCAAATGCGACTGTAGTCCTTTTTTCCCCAAAAACTTTTGGTCTTCAAAATAAGGGTCCGTCTTATACACCCTTTTTCTTCATAGATGGGATTATATTTAACTTTTCTTACAAGTTTTACAAAATATAACAATATATATATATATATATATAATAATCAACCTTTTTTTGGCGCTATTAAAATTTATATTATATTGAGAATTAATTATTGCAATTAGTTACTATATGTGTTGTTAGCAGGTCGCTTAAGTGTCACTCGGTGGGTCAGCGGTAATTTTGTGGACTTGCAACTCTAAAATCCAGGGTTTAATCCCCAAGTGAGTCTTATCATGACGATGATTGAAGTGTAGGCTTTGTTGTTGTAACAAGAAGTAGTATGATTCTTATAATGACGATGATTAAAGTGTGGGCTTCACCTGAGTACTTTTAAAAAGAACCAAGATTTTGTATCCGGATATTTCTATCACATGTGTCGCGGTGTCAAAAAACATCAGTCAAATGTATTTTGTTTTTCAATCAAACTCCCAAAACCCGAACGTATCGTTCACTAACAAATTGTCGCTACAGTTAATTACTCATATGTCCGGAGAGTAAAAAATATACGCCAGTTCATCGCATCTGTGTACTCATCCTTTAAGATTTAAGATATTCATATCCACAGATGTATACAGATCGGGAATTTAGAATTTTCAAGACGGGGGAGATTCCTTGTATTTAATGACATTGGAAAATAATGATATAACTATCAACTTGGGACAGCAGGACCATCCAGAAAGAAACCTGCAACAAGTCGTACCCAAGTCTAAGTAAAATGCGACGTCTTTTAAGAGGTGAGAATCCACGAACACAAAAGCCGTTAATGTGGCCCAGGCAATAGTAAACAATATAATCGAGAAAGATTTCCATTTGGAAAACTACGCAAGTTACGTGTACACAAGATTCTTCCATAATTTAACCGTTCATTTATCTCGTAGCTTAAACATCTAGAAAAATGAAACGGATGTTCATATCATTTTATAAGAAGGCATACTGGTCAAGTGGCCGAACGCAGCGCCTATGGATTTCTCTGTGGTCCAACTGTTGAAACGGTTGTTGGGAGATTGTCGTCCTTGTACACTAGATTGCTTATTGAAAGCAAGCACGGAGGAGGGGTGTGCTTTTGACACTACAGCCTTATGACATAGTCTTTTTGTGCAATGGAAACTACGTTGTATTTATATACAATGTCAAATAGAGCATGACCGGGCGTAATGACATAGATTGTAACAATTTGGTGGGACTCCAACCACTGTCGATATAATTATCCACTTCACTTTTAACATTTCTTATCCAAAGAAAGTAAAGTGTAGAAACTTTTATCATAATTTGTCAAAATTTTCAAACATTCCATTTTCTTGTTTGGCATAATCTAGTTATCACCAGTGGCCTTGAAATTTGGCTCACCACCAACAGGGCATGCTCACATTGTTTTGTTTTAATACAAAAGCGCTGATGACGGTTTGTACCGGAACTAGTCTGCTGAAAAACTAATAAAAACTGTAACTACCATTGTGCTAAAGAAAAAAACGACGTCGGATTTGTTTTTTACTCTTAATATACAGTAGCACAATGTGTCTAACTAAAAGGGTATTATTGATACTCTGCCTTAAGCCTTCCATAAAACACTGTTCAACCACTTTTAAACAACCTATCATAAACTGAAAGCGCACGTTTTCTTACGTAATTTTAATAATATTATTCTAACCGAAGCAAAATTACTATAACTTTTCCGCTGTTTGTTATTGGTTTATTTTTTGTCCAGATATCAGTTTCATAACGCACTAAAGTGAGTATCAAAACTGCTCTTACATTTTTGTTGTTGTTGTTGTTGTTGAATTTCGTGCAAAGCTACTCGAGAGCTATCTGCACTAGAAGTGATAGACTAAATGAAAGGTGGTTAATCAACAGCACCCACCGCCAACTTTTTATCAACGAAAAATGTGACTGACCGTCTCAAATTATAACACCTCCACAGCTGAAAGGACGAGCATACTCTGTGGTGAGAGTCGAACCTGCGACCCTCAGTTTGAGAGTTGAACACCTTAACTACCAGTCCACCAAACTGTTTGTTGTTGCTAAGGTACGTTTCTGAATTATCTCAACAGATGGAATTTTATAAAATTAAATTTGTAGCTTCCCCCCTCCTCCTTGCATTATGACGAATGTCCCCTATTTTGATTTAATGCTTTTACGTTATAAATATCTTGCTTAATCGGCCTGTCATGGCCAGGTTTTTAGGGAGCTCGACTCGCAATCTGCGTTATAAAGTGACGGTTAATCCCTCTATTCGTTGGTAAAAAGAGTAGCTCAAGAGTTGGCGGTGATGACTAGCTGCCTTCCTTCTAGTCTTACACTGCTAAATTAGGGACGGAGCCCTCGTGTAGCTTTGCTCGAAATTCAAAACAAACAAACAATTTTGCTTAAAGGTAAAGGTAATATCTAGATAACAAGTAATATTAGTTCCAACAATACTTTACTGATGAAAAGCCATGTTGCTTCGTAGATCAGTTTTTACCATCACGTGATAATCTCGTTTTTACGTTTTCCGAGATCAAACCCAGTATCTCTCGCACACTACCAGATAGGTTAAATACGAGGTTTAATCCTTTAGCACAGTTGATAAAGTTATTGCTTGGAATGCAAGAAGTACTTGGTTCAAACCCGTGTCATGATAAAGTTGAATACAACAAACACATTATTGACATAACAGTTTTCGGGTTGTAAGATAATTGAATGTAGGCTTTTCTTAATACATTGTAAACTTTTATATATATTGAAATACATTATCATTTGATATTTGTAAAAAAAATAAAAAGTAAAACTTCAAACAGTTTTATTGATTAGAGACCTTTATTTAATTGTATCCACACTCACGAGATAAAGCTCTGTTGATGATTGGATAAACAGATGCTTTAATTCGAGTACCTTTATAAAGATTAGGCGTGTTCGCCAGTATCGCCTTAATACAAGCTTTAGTTAATAAGATGTTAAGCAGTGCTTCAGAATCAAACACACACACACACACACAGATATATATATATATATACATTATATTTACGATACAGTAATCTTTGGCCATTAAAAAAATACTTAAAATATGAAATAGAATTTAGTAAAGAAAATAATACAGGTGTCCGAAAAGTTCTGGAACCATAGATGATTTGCAGCTTTTCTTAATTTGAGATACGTGGCTGATTATGGCGCTGTCAAAGCACGAGAAGGTCGAGTTAATTCTGCTGTTAATCCAAACTTGTTTCGAACTAGAAGGACAACTTATGGAACACATTCGGTTAAATAAGTTGAAGTGCCTATGGTTCCAGACTTTTCTTGTAAATATTACCTTCAGAAATGAATGCAGTTTTTAACAGAACGAATACCTTGAACTCATATGTTAAGTTACATATCTTAAATCGAAGTACAAATTCAAAATATGAATAAAATCGAGTGATTTAATAAAACACGTTTATAACAATTATAAATATCTGACTCGTATTCAGTTTTAGCTAGGCTACGCACATAGCTCAGCTAGGCTACGCACATAGCTCACATAACACGATTACGTTTAACACAGAAGCTATTAACCTTGACTTCACAGGAACCGAGTTGGTCTTTAAGATCATTGCTGATAAGGCTAAAGCAGTAACAAAGTATCCGTTTATTATATGTGTACACACACACAGTCCATTGCCATCGTCTAGCGGTCGGCTATTAGAGCGCGGTCTGCAGTTAGAGCTCACGTCCAAATGATAAAATCTCTACTTACGTCCTAAACGTCCGACGGCTTAGAGTGTACGAGACATGGTGAATAGGGCCCCAAGAGATGGGTTCCCGACAAGCCGCTGCTGGACGAGCCGGTGGAAGCTATAGGGAAGTTCCGAAGACCAGAAGGTGTTCCGGCAGCAGCATGGTAGTCTGCTCCGTCTGAACTCTTCATGAAAGGATTCAATACAAAAGAGCTCAATGCTCCGCACGTGTGGCGATTTGCCTCTCCAGCGCCGTGGCTGGGTGGGTATCCGTAGCCAGGAGACCCACACCCACAAGGTAGGAAGTAGGCCGGCATGGACAAGCCCGAGTAAAGTGATCCAGAGCCATAGGTTGTGACGGGGTAGCTCTTAGAACTGCTAGGAGTCGCAGATTTCAGAGAGTGACTAGAAATGAGTTCTGTGCTCGAGGTAGACTTGTCTGCATTCTCCGTTGAGGAAGAAAAACGTCCTATTGCGGATGCTGGAGCTGAAAGAGAAATCGCGGTCGGAGTCTCCATGGCTCCCGAAGGAAAGGGAAATAATCCTGGCAGTGGCGGAGGTGGGAAGAGACCCCTTGAAAAACCTATTCCCAGATAGTCCAAAGTTGCGGGAATGTACGACATTGGAAATGGAAATCTGTCCTTTTTTAGTAAGTTCTTGGGTTTCCGGCGGGGTTTGTACTTGTAATCCGGGTGTTCCTTCATGTGTAATGCCCGCAGCCTCTTGGCTTCTTCGATGAAGGGTCGCTTCTCCGAGTCCGATAGATGCTTCCATTCGGAGCCAAGTCTCTTGCTGATTTCTGAGTTGTGCATTTTGGGGTTATCCATGGCGATCTTTCGACGTTGGGCACGAGACCATACCATGAAGGCATTCATGGGGCGTTTGACATGGATATCGCCGGAACCGTCACATCGGGTGGTGGTCATGCTGATGGGGCCGAAACGTGACTGGTCCCCGTGAGACTCCAGTGTTGCGGCTAGTCGGTGAATCTCTGTTAAGCTGGAGAACCGAGTGTCAGACAAAATCATTAAAACTGTTTCTGGCTATGAAAGAGAAAATGATTATTTTAGTTTAGTTCCCGCACGTTAGGAAGATGCGTCAATTGTCCAGAATCTTCTAATAAAAGTCTCATGGTGCTCTATCCGCTCGCTTCCTACGATCACTAGTCGGAGTTAAACTACTCAAACAACTCTCCACTTTCCTCGTTTACAATTACTCTTCAACCTTCAATAGATTTTAATGTGTTTGGCAAGACACGCTTTCGCCTCCTGCGTACGCTGAATAACGCTGATTGATTTATCAGCGGCTGCTGCATCCAGTCACTCGCTTTATTTACTGCCAGCACGTGTGGCACAACGTGAGGCGGGGAGAATAATAGCTATTTACCGCTAGAGCCAATCAGCAAGCACTTGACACTCTGTAGCTTGGTTATATAGTGAGGCGTGTATGATACGATTCAAGAAGTTTATCATTGGTTCTCTTTTCCTTCTCTAGAAAGTTGGCTAACGTTTGAGCGAAGGATTGGTTTCATTCATCAGTAGATTGAGTATTAATAATACTAATATATTACCGTTAATGAAAAGCACTGTGATTCGTGATATAAAAATGTTATTTTTGTTAACCTTAAGCGACTTCTATATGTTATTTAATACGATCTACTTTTTATCCATACTTGAGAATCATGATAGATTAGGCTTTCGAGGGACTGTGGCTACAAAAAAAGGAATATTCCGATCTGAATTCCCATCTGTCTGATAATATACTGTTAAACTTTCACTGATCTGAACGGATTGGAACAGCAATGTTTTTTTTTACCGAGAAATAATAAAAGTCTGGGGTAATACGCGAAACTTGATAGACAAGCGGCTCGTGATAATCACTCGGCTAGATAAACACGAACAGGGAAGCACCGTACATAAATATACATTTTGTGAAACCTCAATTTTTTACGAACAGAGAAATCTCATTTCGAGCAAGTTTTTTTATATATATTTATGGAAGTATTTAGGAATCAATCCATTAATTTCATGCCATCGTCTAACCTACAAGAGCCATGAAATTGTAAATATTGGTATAATATACTAATTATTACAATATAGTATTACAAATACCTTATCAACTGCTACTGTCGCTATTTATATAAAAAACCTACTATATAATAGATTATCTGCGCTCTGTCCACCATACTACTTCTTGTTACAATAACAAAGCCCACACTTCAATCATCGTCATGATAAGAGTCATACTACTTCTTGTTAAAATAACAAAGCCCACACTTCAATCATCGTCATGATAAGAGTCATACTACTTCTTGTTACAATAACAAAGCCCACACTTCAATCATCGTCATGATAAGAATCATACTACTTCTTGTTACAACAACAAATCCCACACTTCAATCATCGTCATGATAAGGACCATACTACTTCTTGTTACCAACAAAGCCCACACTTCAATCATCGTCATGATAAGAAGCATACTACTTCTTGTTACAAC